TCATCAAAGTTTGATGCTGAGTATTATACATAACCTTAATCTGAACATTACCACGTGGATGTTAGTCATGGTCCATACAGGGCGGCACATGGTTGTGAGAGGGAGACCAAAATCTATGAAACCGTGACTCATTTCACACAATGATGCAAGAGAGGTTTGATACCTACTATTAATTCAAACTGACAGAAATATTGAAAATTGATAAATTCAATAATCATGAAACTAAATCTTATAATAATGTTAATATGAATATTAATTATATTATATCACATTAAAATCAAATTTTAATTTGGATAAAAAATACATGTAAATTGCAAAAATAAACATGGCATAAATTTCAATATGAAAGAATTTTATGAAAAAAAATGTATCATATGAATCATATAAATTCATTGCAAACATCTTGAAACCTAGATCGATTATGAAACATCATGAATTTTATTCTATCAACTACTCACATTCTACAAAAGTTATTTGACTTGAATTTGTGTAACTGAAAGAAAATTTTAGACTTTGGATTAAAAAAAACATATGTTTTTTTAGCACAAGCATATTAAAAAAAATATAAAGCAAAAATTCATTAACAGTTTTAAATAACAAAATATCATACATCATAAAATTATGTGGGGTGTAGTTTTAGAAAGGGAATTTTTTTCACATTAAAAAAACACATATTTTAATCTATGTTTACATTAACAAAAATTATTCATAATTAAATTTTTTTTATCTGTTTTCATTATTTCGATAAAATAAAACTTTGTGATATAAATTTTTTTGAAATAGATTATTTTATAACGTAAATATTTTAACATGATGCTCAATGTTTAATTTTCAAAATTTACAAGATTTTACTTAATTTCAAAATCAAGAATTAATATATTATTAATATAATCAGCTTAGTTTTTTTATCAACTTAGGATTTGTGAAAAATAATTGTTTAAAAAATGGCTGTATATAAGTATTGAACTCATAAATTTGATTTCAATATTATTTTCAATAATTAAATAAATATTTAATATAATAATCAAATCCTAGCACTTATGCATTTTCAAATAATGAACAGAATTGAAAGATGAATTGTATGTTTTAAATTTTAGGAAGGTTAGATTCACACATGATGAATAATCATTTACTTCAATTTTTTATTTTTTTTATGATTGATACTTTTTAATGTTGACAAGCTAATTGATTTAATCAAGACACATCTTATTTTCAAAAATGAGTATTTTTTTTAATTTTTTTTTTAGCTTTGAGCATGACGATTATCTAACATTATTCAAGAGATGATTGAAAATTTTAAATATTTAGTAAGTCTATCACAGCAATTTTGTATGATAATTTTTTAATTGATATATTTCACGGTCAAATTTCTTTTCACTCAAATTTGATTAAAAATAAATTGAAAATCAAATAACAAACCAAAAAGGTACAATGTGGCTTTCAACAAGATATTTTGCTATTTTCTGTTGTGATTTTCTTTCAATTAAAAAATTTTGACTATAAAAGATCTTTGATCATTTTTCATTTTTTTTAACTGATAATATGTAGCAAGATCAAATCAAATTATATCCAATATATTTAAAATCATTAAATTCAAGATCGGAAGATTTGTTGAGAAGATTTTTTTCTTTGATTTTGCATAAGTCAGAAGCATATAAGACGTTTTATTGCATTCAAATCTTATTTTCTTGTTGCAATTTTCGGTTATTCATTTTAAAAAAATCAGTGCAAATTATCATATATATCATTCAATTTCCGAGACATTTGAATCTGAAAATCAATAAATATATACAGTGGAAAATTTTTGTTATTCAAAAGTAAACTATTTTGTTTTATTTGTGATATGTTTATAGAATAAAAGAAAATCATTTATCGAAATACAAAAGTGTGTCACTATAAGCTAACAACAACTATATAGTATGAGACTAACTGATATATTTGATCAGGATTAAACTAGCTAAAATTAACAAAAACTTGGGTGTCTTTTAACATTTAATACTAAAAAATATTAAATAAATCATTGCAAGTTTTTTGTCTTATCAAAATAGAAGACTTGAAAAATTCAAATATGAAGTCAAATCATTCTGGATATCATGTTTACTTATATATGAGAAATTTGAATTCTCATTAAAATTGATATCAATATTTTAGATAAAAATTATTCCTATCCATGTTATTTAGATGATCTAACATATTCATAAATTACTGCTTATTCATGCAATGCTGTGATTATAAAAATTGAGGATATATCTTCATCTTATATAACTTAGAATATGAGAAATTTGATTTTTTAACAAAATTAGAATTTAGCATGCGTCAATTGCACAATGAGATGAATTTGTTTCTGAATGTAGCACATGAGGATTCAGAGAAGCAATTCATCGTTACAAATTATAAATTGTACATTTATTTTGCAAAATTAAATTTGTTCACGTTAATAACAAGATCAATAAGAAATCTAGGTTGATTTCCAAAATTCTAATATATAAAAAATGCATTTCTCAAACTATGATTATATTAATGAGATCATTTTTCATAAAGTTAAAATAATTTGTTGTAAAAATCAAAATTTGATTTTGAAATGAATAATTTCTACACAAAATAAACAAAAAATAATCGTTTATAGTTAAATCAGGAGGAAAAGTGAAGAAAAGATAGATATATATGTATAATATTATGATAGTAATTACAAAATATGGATTAAAAAAATCAAGTTTTTTCCATTTTGTGCATGTCAATTTTATACATTATTATTAAAGATTAGAGAAGATGGTATGTATAGAGCGTCTTATACATATAAATAGATAAATGCTTGTATCAGGAGTGGTAGTTCATATAATAACAGAGTTTTTCCGCAGCCATTATATTACTACACGACAAAATAACTTTATGTTTAGATTGGATAGTGCGCTTATTAATATACTTGATTATTTTGGGAATCTAACACGAATATATTAAGTACGATATTGACCAAATGAGAGTTCACACTGAAATTTTTATGAAAGAGGGAAAAATCTTCTGTATCTCGACGCTCTAGTGAGATCAGTCATCAGTCTCTGATGACTGATCTTCTCATCAGTCATCAGTAAGAAAGGTAGTTGTTTAATGTTATTTAACTTCCCAAATGGGAGAATGAGAATGTATTTTTAACTTTCCGTTACCCACATCTGACAATCCTTCTATACACGCATGCTGATTTGCTTCAATCTTTTGGGACCATCATCCGTCATTGTGAAGGGGAAACAAGGGTAAGTTTGCGTGATGCCAACAACTCTCATGTGCAATGAATTTCAGATATTGGCGCAAAATACTCTCAAGCTCAATAAAGGAGAGAGTTGGTATCAATCAACATATGATTGTGATTACCCACACACCAATGAAATTCCTTGAGATGTCTACTTCCACGTCTATTGGGGTCTTCAAGTATGAATTTACTTCGAAAAGATATTCATGGAAACTGTAGATCAAGCCGGTATCAACTGACATAGCAAAATCCACAACATATGAATGTGATCAACAACACATCAATGGAAAGCCTTGAGATGTCTTCTTCCATGTCTATGATGAATCAGATGACTTTTGAATGGTTGGTGTTATCAATTATGATTGTATCCCAAAGGGATTTCATGGAAATTGTAGACATAATTAAGTTACAGTTATCTCATTCAAGGTTCGGTTTATATTACAAGGATGTGTTGATCCGTTAGTTATTGCATACTATTGGCTTTCCTACATTATATACATTCTGTCTCCATCATGGATTCAGAACTGTTACGTAACTTAGTAGATTTGTCTGCATAATGTTCTAAAAATCTTGCAGTACAAGTCATATATTTAAAAGTTTGGTGACTGATGTTCAAGATTCCCAATGAGAACATGTGAAATTATATGCAGACCATGCACCATTGGTTGACTCCGTGAATAGCAGATCTCGTCACCATGCATGCTGCAAGGCCAGGCTTTTGACTACAGTGCTCGTCGAGACGCTGAAAGAAGAGTTTTTCATTTATGTGGGTCATAAACATCCTCTGTTAGGAAGGTTAGAAGGGGGACAAAGCAATATAGCAAGCTTCGGCATACACTAAATCTAATAGTTAAATTACAAGTATCTTGATACCCAAAATAAAAACTATAACATAGGATGTGCTATATCAAAGTACCAAGTCCTCAAAGTACTTAGTCAAAATAATGAATGTGAGAAAATAAAAAAGTCCTCAAGAAGTGACGCAGAGTGGAAAAAGATTGCAAAATCTCTTCAAACACGCTTTGGCCACGGCAACTCTTGACTCAAGGGCTTGGAAGAGCCTTGGGAGGGCTTGGAAGAGTTACATATTCAATTACATGTTTGAAATAGGTTTTTGCACAGAAAACAAAATACCTGTCGCACAGTTTTTTATAATCGCGTCGTTTCAGGATGATGACCTACAGTAATCCCACCGGAAAGAATCGAGGACGAGAAATAAGGAATTGACACGTCATATAGTACAGAGCTTGTGCTGTTTATCCTCCGTTCTCGGTACAGCCATATACACCACAATCATAGTCTCGTGACAAATATATACGCTGTATTGGTATTTATTCATTGAAAAAGTACACCCTCCATTATCGTTATAAAAAAATAATCCTCCAGTCAGTTTTTTGTAATTTACTTGGCCCCGTTTCCCATTAGCTTTGTCCAGACAAGAGAGCTGAAGGAGTTTGGAAAAAATCAAACGGGATTCAGTTCTTGGAAATCCCCTCTGATTTTCGAAGTGAAGGAACGGGGAATTAATGTATACTGGGGAGATGTCACACTGTAATGATGAAGGTGTCATTGATTAGAGTAACTGTGTGTGTACGTTTTGGTAGGATCTGGTCTGAGAGTAGGCGGACGGTGATGCGTCGTGGACGGAAGCGGACGGAAAGGTAGTTGTCAAGTCACACAATCACAGTCGCGTGATGGGCACGAAAAAGCTTCGGGTGTAGAGCCGATATAAGAAGCTTGTCCTCTAGTTCTACTCCCTTCACCGCTCGCGTTCGTGACCGAGAGCCTCTCGTGCTCTTTCTTTACTGACTCGTTACTGGGCGTGCGCGGCTTACAGGAACGCGCTTGCGGAAATTCTTCGATTCTTGATCTTGCACCTCCTGCTCCTTCCAGCCTCTTGTCGATCTAGGCAGAGTTAGTGGCGTGTGGCGAGTTTCTTTGCTGTCGTTGGATATTGTCGGTGAATTGAACTTCTGCTCGCGGCTTATTGGAACGCCTCAGTCGTTGGCAGTCACTCGCTTTGGGTTGCTTGAATTTGTGTTTGTTCCATTTGCCGTCCGTCTGGAGTTGAGCCGGCGGGCCATTGGATACTTCTTTGGGCACCATGAATTATGTTATCAAGGTAAGTTTCAGCGACTTGTCCTCTTTATCTCCAATTTCAGTTGTGAGACGTGTAGATATGTCCTACCTCGCGCAGTTGTCATGGAATGTTCAGAGATTTCTGCATATGAAACGGTTAGGGTTGTTTCGCCACCATCACCTCACTTTTTTTTCTCTATAGAGAGAAGAGAATGAACAATTCACAACTCCTCTTTTTTTGCCGGTTGAGTCCATTACCCTAGTTCTACTCTCACTCACGGGGGCTAGAATGTCTGCCCTTTTCTTAACGTGAAATCTGGACGAGGTTTTTATTGGTTAATATGAGAGTGATCTATCAAGGTGCAGAGTAATACAAGTTGTGGGTCATAATTTAGGATTTGACGGAAATTTTATTGCTAGTTTCCTACTGTCCGGCTGAAACGCAATTGGAGTCGCTGCAACGCAATCGGATTCGTTTCTTAACTCATTCAGAGGTTGAAGAGTTTGTTTAATTCTCACCTTCAGTCTCGGTCAGCCCTTTCATTGAATTCTTCTAATAAAGGTTTTACAACCGGATTTGGCTCTCGCTTCTGAGAGTCTATCGTTGATGTGAAGGACGACAGGGTGTAAACCACTTCTAATGAGGGGTTTCCATGAGATATATTGTAACGAAGTATTGTTAGCCTTCTGTGCGACTGGTGACAACTTCTGAAATTTTCTTGTTTGCAGATAAAGTATGAGGACACACTCCGTCGCCTTACTTATCCCGGACATCGACCTTATGGAGATCAGTACAATGATAAACTTATTACATTTGCGAAGCTAGAAGGGAATATCAGAGATCTTTTTAAGATTCCAGCAAGTTCGCAGATTCGTGTGACTTATACTGATAAGGACAATGATGTTGTCACCATGGGAGACGATCAGGATTTGGAAGATGCTTGTGTCTTGCAGGGACTGAATCCCCTCCGATTACTTGTCACCCTGTTGGATGTTCCGAAAGTGGGTGCTGCAGAAGGTCAGGCTGAACAGCTCTTGCCTATGAAAGTGAACGGGGAGGCTGGCTCTAAGCTCAAGCAGATTTTGAAAAGTTTACCTAAGGACGTCTTGAAGCCTGTGGTTGATCATGTGGAACTCTATTTGAAGGGAAGCGCACCTTCTCAGCGCGAGTTATCGAAATTGGTTGATACAGTTGTGGATTCAATTACATCCCATATCGAGTCTGCAGTGAAGAAAGTTGACCTGAACGAGTTTATAAGTGCCTCTAGCAGTCCATCTGTGCCAGCCACGAGCGAAACTCATCCAGTGTGCCCAGTTTATCAAAACTCTCCTCTTCCAACTTCCACTATTCTGGGCACTTTAGAGCCCGTGAACTCCAATGTAAGAGAAGAGTCTGAACCAGGGAATGCGGGTCGTGTATTCCATACCGGTGTACAGTGTGACGTATGCGGAATGAGTCCCATCGTCGGGCCCCGGTTCAAATCATCAAAGTGAGCCTATTAACTTTTTCTTTTTTCGGATGATGTGCTTATTGGACTGTAAGTGTTTCGAATGTGGAATACAACATTGACTGTGAATATCTAACAGGAGATTCGATTACGACCTTTGCGTGAGTTGCTTCGAGGAGTTCGGAACTATCAGCGACTACACTCGTATCGATCGTCCATTGTTCCGTCCGAGACATTTACAAGCTATCGGTAACGCCAAGGTGATATGTTACTATCGGTTTGTTGGTCTTTTTGACGTATCTTTTGACTCTCCTGTACTTCGCTTGTTCACGGTTGATTTCCAACAAGCTTTTTTCTGTTCGCATTGTTCATTCTGGGTATGCTGGTTGCAGTCCCTCTGACGCAAGGTATATTCCTTTTGCAGCGATGCCCTGTTGCCGGGCCAAAACCTCATGCAGGGCAACGATGTCCTGTAGCCAGTCCAAAACGTCATGAAGGCCAGCGATGCTCTGCAGCCGGTCCAGACTGTTATTCAGGGCGACCCTTCAGCATGCGTGGACCATACGGTGCAAGGCCTGATAGTAGATACCATTCCATTCATCAAATGAATGGTTCCGGTGGCAAACTCGATGCTCGTTTCGTTCAGGATGTTACTATATTTGACGGGACTGAATTAGCTCCCGGAACCAACTTCACGAAGATCTGGCGGCTGCGCAATAGCGGTACTCTGCCTTGGCCTGTGGACACAATGCTAGTTCACGTAGGGGGTGACGAACTCGGTTGTGTATTTATCGTTCCATTGGAGGTTAGTTTCTCTGGTTACATAATTGAGACCCATGCGTGTTTGCCTAAATTGATTACGACAGTCGATGCTTTTTCATACCATCCCAATCTTCTATCCTTGGTGACGATGAAACTTAAATTGGTTGTGCTTTTTTTAGAGTACCAAGTATCGATACGCCAATGTCATTCTGAAAATATCTTAGATAGCTATACTTCTATCTGAAAGAACCAGTCATCCCAAATCTGTTAATGTAACTCTATACAGGTAGAGTACCAGCTACATATGAGGTTCTTTGCTGCCGATATGTTGCTAACTGTCGTAATATTCGTAGTTGCCGGAGCGGGGTTTACCTCCTGGTGAGGAGGTGGAAGCGTCGGTGAATCTTGTCGCACCTGAAAAACCTGGGCGTTACGTCTCGCACTGGCGGCTCGCTTCACCCGCAGGTCCGAAGTTCGGTCATCGAGTTTGGGTTTTAATCCAGGTATGTTCAACTTGCTGCTTGAATTCCCGTAATTATCTATACGGAGCCTCACGTTGTTTGGAAGGCCTGTTTTTACCACCAGAGAAATCTTATTGTTTAGGGTATGATATAGGTCGTTTCAAAGGAAGGACAGGAAGATGCGTTGATTAACGAGATGGCGTTACCATCAACTGTTGAGGCCCTTGCGAAAGAGGATACGTCTTCAAGTGGAAGTTTAAAGTCAAAGGACCTTGACTCTACAGCAGGACATTCGTCACAGGCAGGCCCTAAGATGGAAGAGTGGGTAAATACCTATTTTCTACAAAAGGAGTATCCAACTGGGCTCGGCTCTCTTCTCACTGACTCCGATGTCAGAGTTTTGGGAAGCGGACCAGAAATTGTGTCACCAGGACAGACGAAAGCATCAGTCGTCGATACCAAGTCACCCACTGAAGTTGGACAGGAAGATACGAGTAGTTTGTCCGGAATTGTGAAGGAAGATTCGACTGAAGAAAAGGACGATGACATCGACAACCCAAAATGGAAGATTGATGCCAATTTGGGCAACGTTGATAGTTTGTCGCAGCCAATCGTGGGTGGTGATTTGCCGAGCCAGACCAGTGTATCGCTTGTAAAGGAGAAGATGGCTACGGACGAGGTTGCATCATATGTTAACAGTGAATTGGGCGGGTTTTCGATGGTTGAAATGCCTAAGCTGAATTCTTCTTCTTCCTTTGCGAGCGTAACTCCTAGGGTTAACGCGGACGAATCAAGAGCAAAAATTTTGGAAGTGAATGTCGAAGGAGAAGACAAGTTTGCATCAACTGCTGCAGAACTGTGCGACAAGTTAGATGGAATGGGTTTTAGTGACCGGAAGTTAAATCTGGAACTTCTTGAGAAGAATAAGATGGACTTGCGGCGCACATTGGATGCTTTGGTCGGTGCAGCAGACTGGGATCCTATTTTGGAAGAATTGGAGGAGATGGGTTTTTATGACGTGGAGATGAACCGGCGTCTCATGTTCAAGAATAATGGCTCCGTCAAGCGGGTGGTGAAGGAACTTGTCCAAATGTATAAGGAACCCGTTGCAAGTGGGATGGGAAAGGAAATGGTTTAAGTTCTGTTCACCTGGATGAAAAGTGTTGGAGGGCTATTGTCAGGATGTAGACCCAGGAAGATATGCACTTGGGAGTACATCATCAGCGAAACCGTAACAGTATTGGACTACAGAAAGCGGATATGAAAGTTTTAACACATGGACTAGAAGGGAAGCGTCGCAGAGAAGGCGAACTCAGTTCACTTGTCTTCACAGTAGAAAGCTGTAAATGATTGTTGTATAGAGCCAGGCCGTAGAAAAGTGCCTCCATGGAAACCATGTAGATTAGAGAGTGGTTACAGTATGGAGGGTGTTCTCTGATATTTAGTGTTAGTTTCTCTACTTGATTGTGTTTGATGATGGGAATTACCTTGTACTGCGAGATTGAATTTTGCATTTTTATTCGACAGAGTAAATAAATTCCTGTTTGTACATGCCACTAATTTCCGAATAAGTATAATGTAGGTCAGGTATGTGTAAGGTCTTTCAGTCCTTAGATCTTGGAGGAAAGATATTGCAGTATTATATTATAAAAGATGAATATATTGCGAGATTTTTATCTCCCATACACATTTTCTATGGGATTGTTACGGGCGAAGCGTCTGTTGGTGTCGTATCCAACTTTGCACCAACTTTGTATGAGACGTTTTAAGACGAGTAGTGTGTCATACGTAGCTTCTCTTTTGCTATGACCTTCTGATTTTAGCACTGTGTACCACAATGGAGATATAGACCTCGAGGGTATTCGAAACACTAAGGGTTTCAAATGTGCTGTGTGTTAAGCAATTGTTAGGAAATGACGTTTTGAGAAGATACGTTTGCTTTATACATGCTTTCTTCATGTGACTTTATTTGTCATGGATTTACACATCTCTAAATCTAATGGTAAATCTTCCGTGGCCATGTAAGTCAAAGGTGACAAGACCTAGATCTATACCTGGTGTTCGCTTTCGGCTCCTCTGCACAGTCTTGAGGTTGACACATCTCTGCGTGAGTTCGTATTGTCCAGGTGCGCGAAATCAAGTTGCACTCACGTAAATAAGTGGGAAGGTTCGCACCGGCTTTGTTCTACGAGCTTCTCATGTCCAATAAGGAAATAACGAAACGTATTGTAGTATGCATATCATTTGTAAAAGTTTTGGCCTCCGTACGAATACTATCAGTTTGGTCATCCTACTATAGTTTTTCACCGTATGGTTCTACAATGCTCGGAAGGTAACTTCCAGGATGAGCAAACAGTAACAATAAACATATCATAATACGACAATGCACATGGATGTTGAACTGTAATATGGTATACCTTGGTTTGCACGATTTTCTGTTTTACCCAAATCGGCTGCCTCCCATCTACTGTCATCTAGCCGTATCATGATAAACCTCCACTTTTGCTGTTCCGGACTTCCTAGACTTCTCCAAAAGATTACTTAAAGTTTGTATCATTGCTTCTACTTACCATCTGCTGTGCTCTTCTTCACTTTCTTACTGACAATTTCTTCTTGCTCCCTTGATTGTACTCCTTTGCAGCTGTAAGTGTCTGGTTCTTTTGCTATTGTTAAATGTTGAGAGTCACTACTGATTTAAAGAGTGGATACGCAAACTCCTGCTATCTATTGACAACCAGGTCAGTGGGAGGGTTGATCTCTTTATGCACCTCGGTTCGCATCGATAAGCTAGAAATATCGACTTCACTCATAACGCTAAGTGAGAAAAAAAGATGTTGAATTGCTGAAACTCCAAATCTTCGAAATGGAAATCTGATACTAGCCTTCAACAACATTCCAAGTATACTTTAGGTGGATGAATCAATTGAAGATTACAACCAATACAACATATTAATTGGGTATGTGTTTACATTTGGTGGTGGATGCATTACATGGAGATGTATCTTGCATAAATACATAACTCAATATAGAACGTAAGATGAAGTTCATTTTGCTGTTAACATCACAAACATCAAAAGAAGCTATTTGGTTGAATAGCCTTATCACTAAGATAACATTGAAACAATACAATACAAAGTGCAATACATCTTGTTGCAAATCAAGTGATAGATGCATTAATTGGAGATTACAACCCATATAGTATATTAATTGGACATATGTTTACATTTGATGGTGATAACATTAGTTGGAGATGTATGTTGCAAAAGGTCATAGCTCAATATACAATAGAAGTTGATAATATAATAACAGCAAAAGTAGCAAAAGAAGCTATTTGCTTGAATAGACTTATCACTAATATATGATTGAAACATGAGGTTGTCAATCTTCATTATGATAGTCAAAGTGCATCATGTCTTGTTGCAAATCAAGTTATGGACATCAAAGTGAAACACATTAAATTAAATATCACTTCATCATACATGCCATTTTTTATAAAAGAATCGAGTTAGTCAAGATTGATGCTAAATTTAATCCAACTTATGCGTTGACTAGAATTATTTTTGTGGAGAATTTTAGTATACATCGTGTTACTATGCAAGTTTTACATGAATAACTCAAGTACAATTTACTATCAATTTTATATATTTCTATATTTTTTTTACTTCATCATATTTTGAATACGGTTTAATTCTAATTAGCTCTAATTTAATGATATATCTTTTGTTAAGTTTCCTTCAACTACTTCTCGCAGAATAATAGATTAAGAAGGTTATTGTTTACTCAAAATCTGTTACGGAAGATATTGCTAGGCAGTAATTCATGTTGTGTGTCGACGAACTATTAAGTTTAAGTGGACCATTAGAGTTAAGTTGATCGATGATGACTATTTAGTCTGTGTTACAAGTTTTTTTTTTTTGAATATTATGAGTAAATGTTGTGATTCCATGGATATAGCCAAGTGACTAATCATCTTACTTGTTGCGTTGAATGCGTGTTGTGTGAATTATTCTATTTTTTTTCAACATTAGTTACCTAACAATCCATTTCATTGTATCCCAATGCATCTATACTCTTTGACATGTATTTGTTCACCTTGCTCATAGCTAACACAATATCAAATCTTGTACATTTCATCAAACACAATAAGCTACATATAGCTTTTCATAGGAGATTGATGATATTTTTTTCTTCTTAATAATATTAATTAAACATTGAGATGAATATGTTTGAAGTTTGTTGTAAAGGAACCCATATCATTTAAGAATATATTCAATGTGTAAAACACATTGATTATACTTGTCTTGATTCAAGCATAGTATTTTTTACTCCACATCTTAATAAAAATTTACCCCAATATACTCTTGAACTTACTCAAATCTTTAAGTTTATACAGAAATTTTAGTTGGTTCTTGCATCTATTGATGTCGGATTGATTTTTTGCCAAATTGAACTAATTATCCACGTGAAGTATTAGAATAATCAAAGCTTTAATCTTATTATTCTAAGATTAAAGTTTCCATTTTTCACCTTTTTCATGTATAAACATGGATCATGCATACTTACTAATAATACTTTTGCTTTCATGAACACATCAAATTTTGCCTTTCAGTGCCTAAAAGCTTGCTTTAATTCATATAACAATTTCAACAACTTATAAACAAATTTAATTAAAACATTTTTTTCAATACCAACTAGTTGTTTATATAAATTTTGCTTTCAAAGACTTGTAGAAAATCGATACAACTACATTCATATAATACATATAAAGACTAAAAATTCAACAAGTACACATACTAATCAAAGTATAACATATTTTGCCACAAGTAGAAATTTTTTGTCATAGTTCAAATCTTTTTCTTGTGAAAAATTTCTAGCCATCAATTTGACTTTAAAGATTTATTTCTCGTCATGTGCTAGATTGTCTTTTAGCATGTACAATTATTTGCTAATGATCAAAGTTTGATTTTTTTTAAGCTTCACAAGCTCCCAAAATCTTGTTGTCCATCAGCAATTGCATCTCACGTTCCATTGCAGTATTCATTCAAACTTATTAACACATAGTTGAGCTTCTATATTTTAAAAAGTATTCAACATTTTTAAGATCAACTCAATGTCATCATCATCATCCTTAGTCTTAATATCATGATGTTAAAAAATAAAGTAATTTATCTGTAATTTATACCTTATAGTAATTCCGGTACTTCAATTTGATGATTTCACAATAGATCATTTTGATAAATATCTATCATTTGATGAAATTATTTGAGTCTCATCAACAATAACTTGCTATTTTAATTTTTCTTTAAAAATAATAATTTCTTTATACATATCTAAATATTTTGTGTGTCAAATCATTAAATTCATAACGATCAAATTTTCACTCAAAAATATCCATGAATGAATATTTGTACTAGTGAGTACTAAAAAATTATTCATCTTTTAATAATGATTTGAACTTAAAAGTTTTTCTTACTTTAAATGATCAAAAAGAGTTTCTCTATTGACAATAACATTATTTGCTACTTGCTTGTATAGCCTATAATTCTTCACCTATTAGCATTTCAAAAAATAACTTCTCTTGAATGTAAGAACCAACTTGATTATATTTTAATAATGTGTAAAAGAATAAAATATATGTTGAAAGATTCTTAAACAACTATAATCATCGATACATTTATGTTTCATATGTCTCCACTAATCCTAGTCATTATTTTTATATAAATAAAGGAGCGGCTAGTTAATCCTCACCCTACTATACTCTACAGAAGAGAATTCTATGATTGGTCGATATCATGCAAAGATTGGACGGACCGGAGAGATATTCTTTCTAGGGACAGAAAAAGTAATAGATGTAGTGCACAGCATCGGAGCATTTGGCTAGGATGAGTAATAATTAGCCTTAATTGAATCATAACTAGAAATTTTCATAAATAATTCAACTTGGACTTTTTATTTAAAAAGATTGTAAAAACTTTTATAGATTTATGTGAAAAAAAAAACTACACGAATCTTGCATTAGCATCAAAAAATGATACCTAGTATAACTTTTGAAAGAGTGAGGCTTTTCAAGAGTATTCCTTAACATGACTATGCACATAATCAATTTATTCCTTCAATTTATGAGTTTTACCATCAAACATTTTGTTTATCATGCTTTTTTTAACAAAATGCTTAAGAGATTATTGTGCTTGTGTTATCTTAATATAAATTTATCACATATTTTCATCTTGAAGATTTTTTTTCTTTAGCTTCATATTTGAATTGATTCAAATTTTGAATTAAACTTTAGTTAAGTTAATTCAAGTTAAAGTTGGAATTATATTAATTTAAATATAATTATATCTAGGATTTTTTTGCTATCTTAATATCTAAAAGCTGAATCATAACTTGTTTTCAATACTTTCAAAGTATTATTCAATATAATATCTTGTTGTTACCTTAGACCTAGTACAAGAGTGATACACCACGTATTTTTTTGTTGGTACATGTGTTCTTTCAATTTGTTTCTTGTGCTTTTACTGTTATATTTAATATTGAATATTGGAGGCAAAAATTTATTTTATAAATGATTAGGATTAGTATTGTCAAGATAAGCAAAAAAATTAGATGCTTTTCAATTACAGAGCAAGAACAACTTTGAGCAACTGGAGAGAGAATATCTTCATGAAGAGAAAAAAAGTCAGGATGATGAAGCA